AGTGGTCAGCAGCAAAGAAAACGGAGGAGGCGAAGATGACAAACGTCGAAGAAATGGCCTCGGATTACTCGTTCAGCGATGAAAGTGAGTGTAAGGCCATCAGCAGAATACTGAATGACAAAGAGCCAGGCAGGAAGCCGCCAATGCGTCTCCGTTTCCGACTGTGTAAGACATTGCAGGAGCGCGTGGCGTTAGTTGACACAGGTTGCGGAACAAGTTTCATCAATGCCGATCTATTAGCAGCTAATCAAGAACTTGGGTTCGAAATGACTCCCTTGGATCTGACTTATGAGCAAGTCGGTGGGTATGTCAAAGCTTCAGGGTCTACGCCAGTTCAATTCCGGTTTATGGATTTGAATTATGGATCTCGCATTACGCACACATTTTCAGTCATTAACAACACCAGAGACGAGATGGTGATTGGACGGGATCTGTTGAGTGCACTCGGGGTAATTGTCAACTTCCGGGACGGAATGGTGGAGTGGAAAGGCAACACTGTGGCAGTGAACACTGGAGACAAGTCCAGGGTGAGCGATGAAAGAGGAGGCGAAGACGTGCAGGAGGAGGTGAAAGAAATCAACGACACGTCAGTGGAACCGAAGGATCTGGTGGGAACGGCAGATATTGACCAATCCACATACGAGCAGATTCTGGTGCTGTTAACGCAGTTTGAGCAGCTGTATAATGGACACTTAGGGCCGTACTTCTGACCTTTCCAGATTTCTCGCAACCGTTCGAGATTTATGCAGATGCGAGTGGAAAGCAGTTGGGTGGATTGATCGAGCAACAAGGGAAGCTGATAGCGTCGTACTCTAGAAGCCTCACTACAGCACAACAGAATTGTACAACGACGGAGTTGGAGTTGTTGTCTGTGGTTGAGATCTTGAAAGAGTACAGATCAATGCTACTTGGATTTCCAATTGTGGTCCATACAGACCATAAGAACCTCATTTATCCAACGGAAAATTCCTTACGGGTCAAGCGCTGGAAATTACTTTTGTCGGAATACCATATCACGTGCAAGCACATTCCAGGGAGAGACAATATCGCTGCAGATGCGTTTTCTCGAATGACGTATGACACGAGTAAGAAGACAGGAAATGCTGAGCTAGAAGCCCTGTTAATCGATCCGGTTGAGTGTGTGCTTGACGGAAATTACATCAAGCAGCACCAGGATGCAGACTCGACCACACAAAACAAAGTGCAAACATGTATGAACGGCACCAACAAAGCCGAATATCAGATCGAGAACATAATGGGTGCACGTCTTCTTAGTTGCCAGCATCGTGTTGTGATTCCAAAGGAATTACGTCAAGAATTGGTGGAATGGTATCACACTCAGTTGGTTCATCCAGGTGCGAAACGCCAATATCACACGATGAAGTCGTTTTACTATTGGTCCAGTATGGAGCGTACAATCGTAGATTTCGTGAGGAAGTGCTTAACATGTAAGCGTGCCAAGCTACACGGTGGGCCACAAGCGTATGGCAAACTACCACCGCGTCAAATGCATAACGTCGATCCATTTGATGTAGTGCATGTGGACACCATGGGACCGTATGGTAGTGACCGATACTACGCCTTAACCGTGATTGATGAAGCCACGAGATGGTTAGAAGTATCGATCCAAGAGAACAACAAAGGAAAAACCACTGCAGAGAACTTCGACGTGACGTGGTTATGTCGTTATCCAAGACCAAAGGAAGTTGTATTCGATCGAGGTAATGAGTTCAACACAACAGAGTTCCGTGAGATGCTTGCGAGCTATGCAGTCAAGCCGAAACCAATATCCTCGAAGAATCCTCAAGCCAATGCAATTTGTGAACGAGTACATTTGGTACTAAACAACTGTATTCGCTGTTATCCGGAGGCAGACTGGCGTCAAGTTATTCAATACGCTGCATTCGCAGTACGTGCAAGTTTTCACACGATTCTGGATACAACACCTGCACATCTGGTCTTTGGGCAGGACTTGATTACACGACAACTTCATGAGACGAATTGGAGTTATCTCACTAAGCGCCGATTTGAAGCCATATTGAGAGACAACGAGCGCGAGAACACCGCTGGAGCATTTCTATCACCCAGGAGATCAAGTAATGATTCGAGTAGCTGCAAAAGATCGCGGCAACAAACACCGTGAGGTGGCCAAAGGACCATACTCCATCGTGGAAGTGCACGGTAATGGCACCGTGACGCTGGATTATGGAGTGACGCAGGAGCGCGTCAACATTCGACGTCTCTTTCCGTGTTGAGCGGCAACTGGCATGGGGGTGAATAACAAGAGGTTCGCTCCAGTTGTGGTATGACCAGTTGACGCATACGACGTGAGACTCAAATTTCTAGTTTTCCTTTCTCAGCTTGAAGTGTTGTTGTGGGCAGCCACACAGCATACATACTTAATATAACTTACTTCTTCTTTTGCCAAATAAGGCTCAGGTCCTCTGCAAGCCACGACCTACAGCTAACACCTTGCTGAGAGCCCCTCTGCGAGCCAAGGGTTGTCATTCCTTCAAGAAGGATAGTGGCGCTCAGGAATTTGTCTTTCGCGTTCCAGTGCTTGAGGTTGGCGAGTTGTTTGAAGTGGTACCTTCACTCGAGAAAGTATTTGGGACCGCCGTCGATGAACTTGGCCATCGTTTTGGTGACGACTTCTTCTTGTATCGCTTTTTTTCTTGTTAGCCTGACGCAAATTGATCGCGTACGTCAGGTAACGTTCCTTGTCGTCCTTGGGAAGGGCACGACTCATCTTGACGGGTTGGCGCGACGGGTGGACCAGATCGCTGTTGATTTGGATCGATTCAAAGTGCCAAGCCACTTGAGCTCTGTGAGTAAAATTGAGAGCTGATTGAATGTGTGAGTGCGGCTTACACCAGAAAGATATGGAATCCTGTCGTATGTACCTAAAGTATCCTGTTGAAGCTGGAGAAGTCAGAAACCGTTGAAGCCGTCGATCTGGGTACAGCCAGGTAAGATGAAAAATAGTAGAAAAGTGAAGCCAGGTTGTCACAGCTTCCACTCTGCTGAAGATAGAGTTTTAGTCCATCTGCAACAACAAACACATTGTGTAGGATGAATAGCACGTGTTTACGCTTGAGTTGTAGTGGCGTCTGGCACTATAACGGCAGCACGCAAATTGTTTTAGAGAACTCGTACCAGCGTTCGTCGTCCAAAACGAATGAACAGCGAGCACACGCTTGCAGTGACTCTGAAAATGATGCACAAGGAGATTCGCCGCCGCGAGTCCGTGTCTAGGCTAATACCAGCGCAAGACACTGGCGTCCGCGCGGATGGTCACGTATCCGCTAAATGGCGCAGCCAGGAGGACCGTAAGGTGTATACGCTGTAAAAGCTCTAATTTGTAACGGAAGACGCTATGATCCAAGCCAGTCAATGTAATGAGCGACTGATCGTCGCCAGAACCAAATCGTGTAGCAAAGCTGGACATACTGGGCCACTGGAGAGCTGCACGAACAACGCGGCGGTCAACGTCGGTGTCGTTGACGACTGTCCAACCTTGACCTAAATGACTGCCTGTGGGGAAATGGTGTGCAGTGTGGGTTCTGTGGGAAGTTTCCACAATCCTTGGGGGTCAAACGAACAAATACATTAATGAGAGCTTATGCAATGACCATCAGCTCGATCCGAAAAGGGACGAGGAGAGGCGGGTATTTCTTGACTGCTTGCTGCTTGTTCTCCAAATACGAAGTGAGAGAGCTCGCCACGTGTGGTCAGCAACAAGCAGGAGCAGTGTATACC